TTACAGCAAGTAACTCCATGGTAAATTTTCTTTTTCTTTTATTTTGCAGAAGCACAGTCCATCCAGTGTCTCCTCCCCTGCTTTGTACCCGAGAGGATGTTGAAGTGGCAGAGTCTCCCCTCCGTATTCTGGCTGAAACCCCGGATTCCTTTGAAAAACATATTAGAAGCATTCTGCAACGTAGTGTTGCAAATCCAGCATTTTTGAGGTACGTAATTTAGGGCGTATCAGTTTTAAAAACTGGCTCCCTTCTCTGTTTTGTAATTACTCTTCAGCCTGTCCTCAGCTGTTTCTTTTCATATACTTTTTACTGTGTTGGAGTTGGAAGAAACACAGGGCATATTTAATCAGCTAGTGCGAATGGAGAGAGAATACACAGATATGGAGGCATTTGAGAAAGATAAAGAGGAAGTGTAAAAAGACGTGAGTGTCTTCGGTTGTTTTACCCACGGCTAAGCCAAGTAATGACAGAAACTTTTTTTTGTTTTTAAGATCATCTGAAAAAGATACGGCTCCTCCTCCCGAAGAATGCCTTCAGCTCATCAGCAGAGCCACCCAGGTGTTCAGAGAACAGTACATTCTTAAACAGGACCTGGCAAAGGAGGAAATTCAGCGGAGGTAGGATGGCCTCTGTCCACATACCAATCAGTCCCTGGCTGGTAGCTGACACTGTATAATGGCCTAGACCTGGCTTTTGATTAAATTTCTTTCTGTTCTTAAAGGGTCAAATTGTTATGTGACCAAAAAAAGAAACAACTAGAAGATCTCAAGTATTGTCGAGAGGAGAGGTAAGTGCCAAGACAAGGGAGAAAAAAAGTAGTTCAGCTAGACTGGAACTGTGTCTCACCCTAAGATACTGAACCACATTAGTTGGCTTCACCATCAAGGTGCACTCCTAGAGACTCTTGCTTTTTATGCCATTAGGAAAAGTCTGCGGGAAATGGCCGAGCGCTTAGCTGACAAATATGAGGAAGCCAAGGAAAAACAAGAAGATATCATGACCAGGTCAGTGGGCTGTGTAATTGTATAACATTCAGTTCCCTACTCAGGTCAGGTACTCCTAGTGTTATGAAGTTCTCCGGTGCTAGATACGCCCTCTGAGGTGTATTCTACGGAAGACAGTGCAGTGATGCTTTCCCCAAACCCATCCTGTGGAGGCCTCCTTCACAGACAGCAGATTCCTAAATTAGGAGCTTTGGTTAGGACTGTGCTCCTCCTGCGGAGCTGAGATCTTAAGCTGAGGTGTTTGCTTACCTTCTACAGGATGAAAAAGGTGCTTCACAGTTTCCACTCTCAGCTCCCAGTTCTCTCTGACAGCGAGAGAGACATGAAGAAAGAGTTACAGCTGATACCTGATCAACTTCGACATTTGGGCAATGCCATCAAACAGGTAGGAATGGACACAAGGTGGCTACCTCTGGTACTTTTTAAAGTGTTCCTTCTACAGAAAATAATTTTATAAAATGTAAAAAGAACAGACTAAAATAGATAACTGTGAAAATGTACAGCAAACCATAGCTAAAGTGTCCGTGTTCTGTTTGATACTTAAGGTTACTATGAAAAAGGACTATCAACAACGAAAGATGGAGAAGGTACTAAGTCCTCAGAAGCCCACCATTGCTCTCAGCGCCTACCAGCGAAAATGCATTCAGTCCATCCTGAAGGAGGAGTAAGTACCAATCAGCTATTAGTGCAAGGTAGTTTTTCCTTTGCAAAATGCCAAAATCAACCTTTCTTTGCCCAGATAAGACCACTTGACATTTGCGTGTCAAGTAATTACCAGGACAGGAAGTGTATAATGGTGATAGATAAGGACTTAATAGATGAGTACAGTGAGAGGGTTAAAAAGGATGTCTTTCTTTATAATTTTGTTGTGTGGTCAAGGTATTCCCCAGTGAACATGTTCAAAAATATCTCCAGCAGTTCCGCTACTGTATTTGCTGCCTCTAGCCTTAAACGAATTACCATTACTATCCATCTGAAACCTTAAGCCGTTAATTCTAGCAGAGCACTTCTAAGATAATTCAGTATTAACTGAATTCTTACGAATCAATATTAATGGTTTATTCATTTGCTGTATTACCCAAAGTGAGTAACTTTATGATTTTACAGGGGTGAGCACATAAGAGAAATGGTGAAGCAAATTAACGATATCCGAAATCATGTAAACTTCTGACACCACCAGGAACAGATTCACACCTGAAATTAACACAAGTGAAGGCTTAAACTCGTTGTAAAATGAACAGGTAGCGTTATCTAATTTATAAAGAGGCGTTTTAAAGGATGAACTTTGGTGTGGTTGTTCATCACTTTTTATACTTGTTTTATAATGACTGAATAAATGCTTTTACTTAAAAATTGGAATGTGGTTTATATACAAGCTCAAGTATATGATTGTATTCAGCAAGGGCCTAGGATTTAAAAGAAAAAAAAAGCGCCCAAGACTTTCAGCAGCACACTGCCAGACCTCCGTGAACCCTACGGAGTTTTCTTGATATTTGAACAAGAATAAAAGCTGCATTTTAACGTAGCAGCACCAGAAATATGACTCTGAAGAGGGACAGAACCCTAGAACTCAAAGGAAAAGGCCACACAGTATACTAGACAGCAGCTCTTTTAATTTGAACACTTTCTTCTTAAGGACACACCTTCAGTACAGTTAACAAATGGTTATACCTGAAATCTGCTCAAGGCAGAACTCGGTATCCACAATTGCAAGGCCACTGCTGGCTCACTTCCTCGACAGGCAGTATTTCCTTTCAGAGCTGAGTTCGGCTGTGCTGTGTGTCCCAATACATGTCACTGAGGGGGTATGAGGTGCACATGTAGGATCTCAAATGGAGAAACAAATAGCTTGGTATACAGTATATGATTTTGTCTTTTAGCATTCGGTAATATTTTTATACCTGCCAATGAGTTCTGAAAGGTAATACCGTACCTGCCTAGAAATGGCTGAGTGACTGCCAATTAAAAGACACATGGTAAGGTAGGTTACAGGTAAGAGGTAAATCAGGTTAGACATGCATGAGAACACGTGTACACAGACTGGAACACTTGTGAAACCCAGCTGACCTTTTCTTTTGTCTTGAAGGGCTAAATACTACCTTCTAAGTCAGCTTCCCGTTCATAACGAAAACCCAGTTTAAAGAAGCGTTTCATACCAGAAGTAGAGACTGTTAACAAAACCTAGTCTCAGTTTGGGCTTTTCTAGCATATTTTTCTCAAAAATCTGGCTTCCAGCAATTTGCATCTGCCACTGTAGAGACTGCTAACAGTTTCCTAATCATGAATTGTATTGGCCCAGTACCATCTTATGGAGAAAAACATCAGCAAGGTACCCATCATCTCAGCCAAGCAGTTCCCTGGGAGTTGTAGTTCAGTTCGTTCAGGAAGGTTATGAATTATCCATCTTGATCTATGGTGCCAATTTTAATAACATGAAACAAATTAGCTTAGCTTGGAGTTTATCCAAGGGACTAGTCTGACACTACTATAATTTAAAGTGATTGCATTTTTGGAATTAATAAAATTCCCTGTAACTCAATGAGGATACATGTTTCCTTTAAAGGAAACAGAGTAGTACTTTATACAAAGGGACTTTAGACCAATTAAAATAATGTTTCATGCATGCAAACCTACAGCACTATTTCCATAATTAGTGTTTACTTTCACAATTCATAATCATGAATGTAAGACTACAGCAATAGCCCAAGGAATGAGGTATGTAGGCCTTACCTTGTCCTGTCCTATGGAAGACAGAAATAAAGATCTTTAGGGCTAGTCCATTATGACTTCATTTATAACAAAGACAATTAAAGTTGTAGCTTTATGTGAGCCAAACAATCGACTCAGTCCACTTAATTTCCATATGGTTCCTTCAAGTACTCTGCCGTTACACAACACCAATCACAAAAATTTGAAAACAAGTTTTACTTTTGAACCATCTGTATGATGAATTAAACAGTGTAGTCTTCCACTGGCTAACAGTACTGCAGGTAAACAGCGAATATAAATCCATTCTGTGCTTTCTGCAACATTTCATAAGGCTACGGCAAAGGCGACCTGTTCATTGAAGCTTTATCCACACAGGAAAGGAATCTAACCTCATAGAAATGACAAAGCAGATTTCCAAACTGATCAACTAACTGGGTTTTCCCCAACGTCACCATAAGCATTATCACACTCCAGGTCTAAAATATAAGAGAAAAACACAAAATAGGTATCTGCCAAACCTAGTTATCACCATTTTTGTATTTGACACTTTTGAAACAAGTACATACTCAGGCCCACTGACTCGAGTTGAAAATAAAATAAGCAGCAGACTTATAAATTTATACTAGATGTTGTCAGACATAGCTTGTTTTATTAATATTTCTTCCACTGATCCAGTAACTAAACTAAAACAGTTTTCAAAAGAGTAGATGGTGCCAGTTCAGCTTGACCCTGGTACCTGTGAGTCCACGAAACTTACCCAGGTAGCAGGAAAAGTGCTTCCAAACAGTTTCTTGTGCTTTTCCTTTAACCTCAGCTTCCAATACATATTAGCCCCAGCCAAGTTTGCAAGTCCTCATAATTAGTTCGGTTCCAATTCCATTGAATTGGTTGTCTGCCACCGTCTTATGGTTCTCAGGCAAGTTTCAGTAGCATTTAAGGTCCTCCAATGCAAGATAAAATGGTTAAAAAAAAAATACACTGAGCTAGGAAATACAGTCACTAGCCAGTGGGCTGCACTCAAACTTCATATTTTAATATAAAATATTCATACGGCATACTCCACCTCTGCTAGCTGAATACTGTTACTGATGAACTCTAGACAACAGAAACAAATTCTTCCAACAGCTATGAACAGGAAATGCCATTTCAAACACTACTGGGACGGTGCTGAAAGGCAGGGAAATGTTGACTAAAGCAGGCAAGGAAACAGCACTTCCTCCACCACCAAATCTGATCCCACACTCCCTGGAATCAGGTCTGGAGTCTGGCTAGCGTTCCCAGTTGAAAGGTCTTTTTTGCTGCAAATTACCCTGGCTGTTTGCTGCTCCGTGCTGCACAGTCTCCCCACTAGAATCAAGCATTTCTCCAGTCTTCCTTTTTCTGTGTGTGACTTCTTCTTCAGTTAAGAGTTAAATAGTAATTAATGTTGCTCTAAAGATGAGTTAAAAACCCAAAGTGCAGGCTAGAGCCCTGCCATGAGGGTGTCATGTCTCAGGGAGCTGGTTAATGTCTGTCAGTTTGGTATCGTTCAGAATTGCCCGGATTCTCTCCAAGGAGTCTGCTTGCCGGATCCGCTCTAACTGCACCTAGAGAAATAATGCAGCGAGGTAAGTGCAGATGGCTCCTGCCTAGACCTTCTGGTTCACTCTGACTGGTTTAGCTGAAATGGAGATTAACTCAACAGAGACTACTCACTTCAAAGAAAAGAGGCAGCAAGAACAATTAAATCCAAAAAACAATTCCCCAGAGCTGCTGTGTAACAGACCCAGTATAAGGTGCTGGGACTCTGGAGATGAATGAGACCTGATCCTTGACCTCTGAGAACCCACAGTTCAGTTGGGGGGAAAGAACAAGCTTATATAGAGTTTTAGTACAATATACTAAATGTCACTATACCAGCCTGGGGACCTAGAGAGGGTTCCACAGGGAGGACAAAGCTAAGCAGGGCCCTGGAAGAAAGGAGCAAGGGGGCCCTGCTTCCAGAGGGAACACATGCCCTGGGCAAGGATCCACAAGTAGTTTTTAAAAATTAGAATATAAAATGTAAGGCAGAGAGATGGACAAAACGTAGGGATAGGCCTGGCTGGGAAGAGTCTTACATGCTACGCTAAGGACTTCATATTTTACCCTTAAGGGCCCGCAAGGAAGAGGAAAAGGGTTTCCAGCTTAAATGACCAGGCTGGCATTTGGAGCTGGGGCAGGGGCAGCCATAATTTCTAATCCTCTAGCTATTGTCAGTGGGCCAGAGATTAGCAAATTCTCCTGGCTACCAAAAGTGCCTCCTCAGTGTTCTGTCTAGGGGTTCCCCAAATGCCTCACCTGAAGGGTCTGAGAAAGCTTTACAAAATCTCTCTGGACTTGTTCACTGACATCTAGTTCTGTCTGCAACCTCTGAGCTTTGTTCTTCTCTTCAAACATTAGTTGTTCAACAGTAACCTAAAAAAATACAAGTTTTGAATGAGGATTAATGCTGGACAGCCACACGTCAAATCACTCAGGAAATCTAGGCACTTGTCGTTTCCTACTACTAGAGAGGAAAGGTGGGTGCCCATCATATTCCTGTATCCTGTTAGTCTCCCTTTGACTCTGTCTTTACAGGGCAAGGGTGCGCATTGCCTAAGGTACTTGTTCTAGGTCCTAAAGTGAACTGAGTATGAGAGCCAAATTAAAAATGAATGAAAGTGCCGCACTCCACCCCTCACCCCCAGCAGCCTGGTGACAATGATTACTCATCAAAAAGCAGCTGCTGTAAGATCAGTAGCTGTCATAGCAACAGGACAGGATCTTTAGGGATTTCCTCTGACAACCACAACAGTCAAGCATCTGCCAGGAAAATTCTCAATGAATATGCCTTAGGCAGCCCCAGCTATCCCCAGTCTTCCTTACAGGGAAACTCTTCAGTAGGACCCCCTGTGCGGGAGCCTTTCTAAGAACAGAGAACTATTAAATAACACATACAAAACATTTTTACACTTAAAGGTTAGATCACAGCCCACCAAAACCAAACTTCCCCCACAGTTAGCCCCATGCATTTTTATTCTAACAGGACTAATCAGAATTTAGGCAGCAAATATGGTTCAGTGCAATATTTCATAAGTCAGTCGAATGGAATGGCACTTCCAAAGCAATGCTTCTGGCTATGGCAGTGCCAAGTTTTGTTCATGGCCTTTAGCTCAATGCCTAAAAAGCCAGTTAAGCCTGTGACACAGACCTCCAGAGCTGGCAGTGTGCACATCTGACCCAACTCTGAGATAAAGTCATTCCATTTTCTTTCAGCAAGCGGAGGGTCTTGCCAACTTTCAGAAGGTGGCACTATCTCAAAGCAGCAAAAGGCTTTTTTTTTTAAACAGCGAAGATGTGATTCTACATTCTTCACACTGCTTTTTTATGAAACTACCAACAAAAATGTCACCTTAGCAGCAGTTTCTTTCTTTAACTGTTCTTCCAAAGTGATCTTCATCTCCTGAAGGCTCTCAAGCTGTTGAGACTTCTCTCTTAATGTGGACTCCAACTGTGAAAAAGGGAAAAGCTGAAACACACAGAAACTCCCTACAGGTCACAGCACACCTGCCTGGAGGAGCCTGCAGCCTGGAGAAATGCACCCAAGCTCGCATCCTCCTAGGCCCTGGATACTGGCTATGCCTGGAATGCTCTTCCTACCCTTTGATATCTGTGGATCTTCTATTGATTCTTCAAGACCTACTCTTTCTCTTATTAAACGTCTATTAGGCACCTCCTATGTTCTAAGGCCTGGGGATGGAAAAATCAGGAGAGACAGACAGGTAAGTTAACTATGCCATGTGAACATGGATGAAGAAGCACTTAATTCTGCCAGAAAAGCTGGGAAGGGCTTCCTTGAAGAGAGGACATCTGACCCTTAAAGGGTGGTAAGGGGGAGAAGGAGGGAGATACTCCAAAAAGAGGGAGTTGAGGTATAAAAAAAATGAGTTAAAGAACTGAGGTGAGCTCTTGCTACATTACAGCACAGAGTTCTGGGGCCCTGGAGGCTGAGGCCAGAGAGGCAGTGGTGAGGCAGGAGATCCCAGCTGGGCTATAGATAAAGGGAACTACTGAAGGGTTTTAAACCAGACTGGCTCACAGTCAAGTTTATCATCACCTTGGTTTCAATATGAAAATGAAATTTGAAGGGGATCAATTTTGGAGGCAGGGAAAGAAGTTAGGCTGTTACAATGAGCCAGGTGAGCACTGAAGTCAACCCAAACAGTGGCAGAGGGAGTTGGAAAGATGGGACGCGTTGGAACGCTGGCGACTTTTGCCAGTGTAACCTGATAGCACAGTGGGAGCCAAAGCCTGATTGCAGTGGGCTGAGGAGTGGCTGGGAGGTCAGGCAGTGGAGAGGACTCTGCCAAGAACTCTGGGTATAAAAGGAAGAAGGACTGGTAGCTGGAGAAAGAAGTGCAAACCTGAAGAGAAACTTTTGTCCCTCTCACCAGGAGACCTCTGAGACTGGTTATGCGTAATGGAAAAGACAAATAAAGAGGCAGAAGTTCAAGGCCCACGCTGGAACGGGAAGATGGAGAGGGTGCCAGGAAAAGATGTGATGGACCCAGTCAAAGCACATGTGCAGTGACAGAGGACTAGTCAGAACAGGCCACCCTTTCCTCTGAAGAAGCAAGAGGGAGAAGGCTGGGAAGCGAAACAGGAGAGCACGCGACCGAGGAGCTGAAGGTGGGCCCTGCTCACGACGGGGGCACAAGGCTGTCACGAGGGGGCGAGCTGAGCGGCGACTGAAACGTCCACTGTGAGGAATGGAAAGGACAGGGGCTCCTCTGGTGGCGCAGTGGCTGAGAGTCCGCCTGCCGATGCAGGGGACACAGGTTCGTGCCCTGGTCTGGGAAGATCCCACGTGCCGCGGAGCAACTGGACCCGTGAGCCACAACTATTGAGCCTGCATATCTGGAGCCTGTGCTCCGCAACAAGAGAGGCCGTGACAGTGAGAGGCCCGCGCACCGTGATGAAGAGTGGCCCCCGCTCACCCCAACTAGAGAAAGCCCTCGCACGGAAGCGAAGACCTAACACAGCCAAAAATAAATAAATGAATGAATGAATGAATGAATGAATAAAATTTTTAAAAAGAGCAAATGAAAGACTCCTGAGCAGCACCTGGCAGCAAGACCACGCAGTGTTCCTCATTCCAGTGGAACCAGCAGCTGGGGGCAGAGGCACAGAAGGTGGACACCAGGATTAATCCAGGGTTAGGCAATATCAAGTGAGGGTAGCACAAGAACAAGGAATCGGGGGCTTGCAGGCATTAGTGGGAGACTAGCTGAAGAGGCAAAAGCCATGTCAGATGCTGCTTAGAAGGAAAGAAAGAAGAAGTTGCTAAAACCAGCAGAAAAGGAAAAGTTTAAAGAACTGAAAGGTCTGAATGAGGTACTCAGACAGATGAACCTATGGGATTAAGGGCTGGAAAGATGGTAGACAGGGGTCAGGGGCATGAGCCTGGAGTGAGATGTCAGAAGTGGGGCAAGGTGCAGGCAGGAGTGTGGCAAGGCAGGGCAGCCCAGCAGCAAAGGTCATTGAGTCAATGAATAATGAGGCCAGTAAGCTAAATGGGGTCATCTACCAAAAGGTGTTCATGGTGTCTAAGAGAAGGAGACTCTAAGCCAGCTAGAAAACATCACCTCCTGTTTGTAAAAGATTTTGCAGCTTTAAGTATCTAAGTATTTTGTAGCTTTAAGTATCTATCATGTCAAGACCACAGCTTGCCTGTCCTTCCACCACAGTGGAAGCTCCAGGCTAAGTCACATCTTAGTCTTCCCTGTACCTCCTCCAGTCAACACAGAGCAGGCTCTCATTAAATGGTCTCTACCATCATCACGCCCATATTCCACTGTATTTTTCCCAGGAGTTGCTTGAAGGCAGGGACTATGTCCTAACTGTATTTCATTCCTTGAGTCTAGCACAGTAGGATTCAATAAATAAATACTGGCTGCTGACAGAATCAATTTGAAACGCATGAAACTCACCTGTCCTTTTTCTACTTTTATTCTTTCTAATTCAGCTTTTAGGCTAGAAATGGAAGCTAGGAGGAAAAAAGGAGGAGACATGTTAGCATTTATTCATTATTTTGCATTTAAATTTTTTCTTAAAACACCCCTTTCCCCCATAAGCTCAATCTCATGCAATGAAAGTCAAATGCTGTACTGAACAAAGTGGGCAGAATGGGGGTGAGGGACCAACAGCCCTTTCTCAAAATTATCCCCAACCAATCAGCATCATAATCAAGCTCAGGAAAAGTGAGAGTCCACACAAGAACACCATGTCATAAACTGTCTCTGCATCAAATACCTACACCTAACTCTGGGGGGTGTGGGGGGAGCTAATCCCAGCAGGAGTCTGTTAACACTTCTGAGTTCTGCAAGGAAATGCCACCCATCTACTCATATTCCCCAGTGTCTGGGTTCAAGTCCTGAATTTCCTATCTATTAGTAATTACCAGAGAGGCCACCAGAGCCCCTAAAAAGATGAGTTTGGGGTTTGTTTTTTTTAATTCCTAATCACTGGATATATCAACATCCGGAGAAAGGGACTGAGTCCTTACTTAGTTCTTTCCTATACTTTTTTGTTTTCTACATTCTAAGACTGTTATAACCAGAGAAATAGTTTTATTTAGTGCCTTCAATTCTAAACTACGTCACTTTTATCTTCACCTATTTCTTCCTTGCAGTTTTCTATTTCTAGCTGCAGAGTTTCTTCGAGGTTTTCTTTTAAACACTGTTCTGCTTGAATCTGCTCTTTCAGGAAAAGTATTTCAGCCTTCAGTTTTTCTTCCATGTGATCTGCTGCTGTCCGCACATTAATGATGTTCTCACGGTATTTTAATACCAACTCCCGGAGGGCCTAGATTCAAGAAACAAATGGATATTGGGTTTATAAGGGTGAAAGAAAATAAACAAAAAAAGCTAAGGATTTTCTGCAACCAGAATTTCAGATGTTGTTTTAGACGGTTCAAAATTTAGGACTTTGAACTCCAACCCACTCTTGGCTTCAAGGGGCAGGTGTTATGCCATGTTATTATTCAGTATGTTAAAGAAATAACATTACTAACCAAAAAATGTGTACGGTGAACTACATATTTTTCCCTCAAAACTGTTTCATAAATGGAAAAATTAAAATTTGAAGTGACTTACAATGTGGGATTCACTATGAATAGCTTAGACACTTCCACTATTACCTGCTTAAATTTGAAGGGAGTTAGTGAATGAGGACCAAAAAGACTGACACTCAGAAGCAAGTATGAAGTCCAAAAGGACAAAATGTACTTACTTATTCATTTATTCATTCAAACAAACACTTGTTGAACACCTACCACAAAAGCAAAGTACTGTTAGGCCAGAGGCAGGTATGGCAAAGACAGGCTTTCTAAGGTGATCAGCTGTTTTTCTGTAATAAATTCAGTTTAAATCTTATTTTATTTTTTCCCTAAATTGTTGTTGTCTTCTTTTAAAATTCCTCCTCCACCCCCACCCCCAAAAATCCTCCCAATTATATCCTAAAGCAACTCTAAAGTAAAAACTGGGATTCTTAGATAACTACCAAATGTATATATAAATTAAAGAACAGCAGGAAAAAAAAAAGGCAGTTTTTCTTGAAAAACTGTATCAAGAAAAATTTCATAAGATTTATTACAGAATCAAGGTTTACAGGCTAGACTGGTTATAACCTTCAAGGATTCGTGGAATTTTTTTTAAATCTAGGTACAAAAAGTCCTTATAGAGCATGGAAGAGAGGAACCTTTCCTGCCAAGTGAAAAGTTTAACAGAGGTGGGAAGTGGTATGCTGACAGCAAAAATAGACAGGTCCCCAACACTTTCTCCTTGATGAGATCAGTCACCAGTTCAGAAAGGAGAGAGAGCTCTCCAGAGTGTCAGTAACCTGAGCTGAGACCACAAGCTGGGGGAGGGCAGGGAAAGGAGAGGGAGAGCAAGGAGCTAATGGCAGGGTAGGCAACGGAGCCTGTGTAAATGAGCAAATAAAAACAAAAACTAAGAGTCATGTTAAAATCTATATGGGAAAAAAGAACGAGGTCCAAACAGTAGGGGTTGAATCTTCAGGGTAGGATTAGGAAAAACTGTTACTTACAAAACTATAAATCTCTGTAATGTCTGACTTTTAAAAATTTAACAATTATAAATTTCTTTAAGAAAAAAAAAAGAACAGAAGGATCTTACAGGAAATATATTTTCTATTTCGTTTTGAGAGTTGCTCTATGAAATCTCATCTTTGCCTATACTGTTTGTAGTGTTTACTTGGGTTTAGCCTAAGATGATATTTTTCATGATGCTGAAAGGTTTTAAAATGTATGAGGGACTTCCCTGGTGGCGCAGTGGTTAAGATCCGCCTGCCAATGCAGGGGACACAGGTTCGAGCCCTGGTCCAGGAAGATCCCACATGCCGCGGAGCAACTAAGCCAGTGAGCCACAACTACTGAGCCTGAGAGCTCTAGAGCCCGCCAGCCACAACTACTGAGCCCATGTGCCACAACTACTGAAGCCCGTGTGCCTAGAGCCCGTGCTCCGCAACAAGAGAAGCCACCACAATAAGACGACCATGCGCCGCAACTAGAGAAAGCCCGCACACAGCAACAAAGACCCAACGCGGCCAAAGATAAATAAATTTATAAAAATAAAAAAATAAAACGTATGAATATAAAGTCTGGAAAAAGTTAAGGAGATACTTATGAATGCCTCAGGAAACGTCCAGGTTTGCAGCCCTGATTCTCCCAACCACAAAAGAATGGAAGTGAGCAAATGCCGTAAAAATTATCGGTAGACAGAAGGAGGCTGAGTGTGCTGTGCCCTAAGTGCTATATAGAAAAACAAATATCACAAGGAGCCAGCATGGTGACCCCCTTCAAATATTTAATTTCTGGTGCACTCTCAATCTGGTCCTGCAAGAATAATACAGACCTTCGATTTGGCAAAGGATTCTTAGATATGACACTGAAAGCATGAGCAACAGAAGAAAAAAATAAACTGGACTTTATCAAAATTAAAAACTTTTGTGCTTCAAAGGACACCACCAAGAAAATGAAAAAGACAATCCACAGAATGGGAGAAAATATCTGTAAATCACCTACCTGATAAGGGACTTGTATCTAGAATATATAAAGAACTCTTATAACTCAAAGAAATAAAAAGCAAATAACCCAACTGAAGAGTAAGCAGGGCTTCCCTGGTGGCGCTGTGGTTAAGAGTCTGCCTGCCGACGCAGGGGACATGAGTTCGTGCCCTGGTCCGGGAAGATCCCACATGCCGCGGAGCGGCTGGGCCCGTGAGCCATGGCCACTGAGCCTGCGGTTCCGGAGCCTGTGCTCCACAGCGGGAGAGGCCACAACAGTGAGAGGCCCGTGTACCGCCAAAAAAAAAAAGTAAGCAAAGGATCTGAATAGATGTTTCTCCAAGGAAGATATAAAAATGGCCAATAAACACATGAAAAGATGCTCAATATCATTAACCATTAGGGAGATGCGAATCAAAACTACTATAAGATACCATTTCACACCCACCAGGATAGCTATAATCACAATGTGAGAAAACGATGAGTGTTAGTGAGGATGTGGAGAAATCCTCAAATGATAAAACAGGGTTCTCATATGACCCAGCAAGTCCACTCCTAGGTTTCTACCCAAGAGAAATGAAAACATATGTCCACACCAAAACCTATTCATGAATGTTTATAGCAACATTATTCATAGTCCAAAGTGGAAACAACCCAAATATCTATCAACAGACAAACAGTTAAACAAAATATCCATATAGTGGAGGAGTATTTTTTTTGTCATAAAAATCAATGAAGTACTTATACATGGTATGACATGGATGAACACTGAAAAGATATGTGAAAAAAGCCAGACACAAAAGACCACAAATTGTATGATTCCATTCATAGGAAAGAAAGACACGACAACCTATACACAGAAAGATTAATAGTTGCTTAAGCCTTGGGGAGGAAGGGCTGAATAAAAGGTAAGGGGTTTGTCTTTGAGGTGATGAAAATACTGTGGTGAGGGCTACACATCTGAGAATATATTAAAAACCATTGAATTGTACACTTTAAATGGCTGAATTATTTGGTATGTGAATTACATCCCAATAAAGCCTGTATGTATGTATGTATGTACTTGTTTGCTTGCCACATCACGTGGCCTGCAGGGGTCTTAGTTCCCTGACCAGGGATTGAACCTGAGCCCTCAGCAGTGAAAGTACAGAGTCCTAACCACTGGACCGCCAGGGAATCCTTTTTTTAATCTTCATCTTTATTGGAGTATAATTGCTTTACACTGTTGTGTTAGTTTCTGCTGTACAACAAAGTGAAATCAGCTCTATGTATATACATATATCCCCATATCCCCACCCTCCTGAGCCTCCCTCCCACCCTCCCTAACCCACCCCTCTAGGTCGTCACAAAGCATGGAGCTGATCTCCTTATGCTTCCCACTAGCCATCCATTTTACATTTGGTGGTATATATATATATATATATATGTCAGTGCTAATCTCTCACTTCGTCCCAGCTTCCCCTTCTGTGTCCTCAAGTCTGTTCTCTACATCTGTGTCTTTACTCCTGCCCTGCCACTAGGTTCATCAGAACCATTTTTTTGGATTCCATATATGTGTGTTAGCATACAGCATTTGTTTTTCTCTTTCTGACTTACTTCACTCAAATTGAAGTATAGCTGATTTACAATATTGTGTTAATTTCTGCTGTACAGCAAAGTGACTCAGTTATACATACATAAACATACATTCTTTTCCATTATGGTTAATCTCAAGATACTGAATATAGTTCCCTGTGCTATACAGTAGGTCCTTGTTGTTTATCCATTCTATATGCAATAGTTTGCATCTACTAACCCCAAACTTCCAGTCCATCCCTCCGCCACCCTCCCTCCCCCTTGGCAACCACAATTCTGTTCCCTGTGTCTGTGAGTCTGTTTCATAAATTTGTGTCCTATATAGATTCCATATATAAGTGATATAATATGGAATTTCTCTTTCTGACTTAACTTCACTGAGTATGTTAATCTCTAGTTGCATCCATGTTGCTGCAAATGGCATTATTTTGTTCTTTTTTATGGCTGAGTAGTATTCCATTGTATATTATGTACCACACCTTCTTTATCCATTCATCTTTTTTTTTTTTTTGGCTGCGTTGGGTCTTCGTTGCTGCACACAGGCTTTCTCTAGTTGTGGTGAGCGGGGGCTACTCTTCGTTGCGGTGCATGGTCTTCTCATTGCAGTGGCTTCTCTTGTTGTGGAGCACGGGCTTTAGGCATGCGGGCTTCAGTAGTTGCAGCACACAGGCTCAGTAGTTGTGGCAGACGGGTCCTAGAGCATGAGGGCTTCAGTAGTTGTGGTGCACAGGCTTAAGTAGTTGTGGCACGCAGGCTCAGTAGTTGTGGCACATGGGCTTAGGTGGTCCACGGCATGCAGGTTTTCCCAGACCGGGGATTGAACCCACGTTCCCTGCATTGGCAGGCGGATTCTTAACCATTGCACAACCAGAGAAGCCCCCAATCATCTGCTGAGGGACATTTGGGTTGTTTCCATGTCTTGGCTATGATGAATAGTGCTACTATGAACATAGGGATGCATGTATCTTTTTGAATTATAGTTTTGTCTGGATATATGCCCAGGAGTGGGACTGCTGGATCATAAGGCAACTCTATTTTTAGTTTTCTGAGGAACCTCCATATTGTTTTCCATAGTGACTCCACCAACTTACATTCCCAACAACAATGTAGGAGGGTTCCCTTTTCTCCACACCCTCTCCAGCATTTATTTGTAGACTTTTTAAAAAAGAATTTGTAGCCATTTCAGAAAATGTACTTGTTTACATTTTTGATCTTACAGAAAATAAGTTACCTCTATAGCGTCTGGGAGAATGAAGTCTTCTGCTTGTTGTAATGATACATGCAAGCTATGCTTTCCCTGAAGACTGTCATTATCTTTCTGTAACCTCACCAGCTCTTCTGAAACCTGTTCCCGTGACTGCATCAGCACTGCCTAAAATAGGAAAAGATACTAATCACAGCCAGAAAGGTAAATCCTATCTGCTGATAACTGCACCAGAGAAAAACAAAGGCCAAAAGAAATAAGGGCTGAGGCTGGACAGTACATGATAAAGCTCTGTAAGACTTAAAAAAAGCAGCTCAGAGATTTATTGGTTTACAGCCCTTACATATATTCAAGGGGACAGGAAATGAAGCAAGTATCTGAGCTTATTCTCCACTGTTTCTACCAACAGCTTAAAAGTAATGAATTTCTTCCCCCATATCCCCAGGACCAGCATCTCTAGCTCAATGGAAGAGGTGGACGTAATCAAGACTTATATCAAAAAAAGTGTGTACTCCAAGACAACTCCTATTTCCTCACAGCATGCGTTCCACAGGAGGCAGGGATAAACAAAAAGCAGTATCTTCATCTTTGATTACATATACATATGTTCAAGCTCAGGATCACTGTGAATGGCCCAAGGACCCCAAATATTAGACGCCATCAAGAGGCTTTATGCTTAGGAAATGCAGGACATTTGAGCGGCTCATTCTTAAAATGGAACACGTTCCTACTTCTTCCACTTGCTGATGTTTACAACAATTTTAGGTATTTCATATGAATTTATATCAATATAAAAGTCCAGCTAATTTGAGTATAAAATTCTGCAAAAGTATTTCTGCTAATTTTTACTACTAACCATTGAACATATACATAAGTGTAGATTACCCCACATCCAACATTTGTTCAGCAGCTACTACTCTACACTAGGCGATTTGCTGCCCATGGAGAATACAGGGATAAAAGATAGACTTTGCCCTAGAGAAGCACATGGTACACTGGAGGGAAAGATAAGTAAACCAAAAATTACCCAACCATACTACGAGTGCTGTAACAGACAATGGGTACAGCAGTGATAAAAGGACAAAGGGTACCTAATTAGTGGAGAGGGTTCAAGAACATTTCCCACAAAAGGTGACTGCTGCATCCTGAAGGACAAATAGACTGCTGGTAGGCAGGCAAGGTCATGAATAAGTTTTGGTTAATTCTACTGGCTCTTATTTATTTCAGACCAGAATCAATTGTTGCTTTATGCTCACTTTCAACCCATTTACAACAAAATATTAGCATCCCACTACATTTTGGATATAAAAGAAGGGAAAGAAGAATATGTTTATATTTGTTTATTTTTGTAAAGAGAAAAACGGAAGGATAAACCAAAAATAAATTTAAATGATCATGTACAGGAGTTGGTGGTAACAGGGTGAAAGGGACAGGGAATGGAAGTGAAACTTCTGAGTGTTTATATACTTTTATAGTTCTGACTTATGAACCATGTTGCATGTTCAAAAAATAAAAAAGTCAATCAAAAAAGAAGAAAATCCAAAAATGTAATACATGGCTCCATTTGTTTCTGTTTGTATCAAATTGATAACACAACCACAGAGAGAAAAATCATTTCAAGTAATTTTTGAACACAGCACCCAGACTGTAAACCTTTACCTGGCATAACATTCTAAGGGTAAAAAGGTGTCTCCTGGTATCTGCAGAGGACTGGTTCCAAGGCACACTGCCATACCAAAAACTGAGATGCTCAAGTCACTTCCAGTCAGCCCTCTGTATCCACAGATGTGGAAACCGTGGATATGGAGGGCCAACAAAGAAATGCTGAACTTCACTTAGTAAGTTTGCTGTCGGTAGCAATATTAATGTAGTCATTCTAAAACGACTGTGATCGCCTTAACCAAGTGATCAAACTTAACATCACCAACAATGGAACCACCCATCATAACATGCCTCTTGTTATGAACTTTCCATTGAATCATTTCATCCATGTAGTATTCTTGCCAAAAATCTCTAACTTGAACCATGTGGAAATAATCAGACAAATGCATTCTACAAGGCAAATGGTCTGGACTCTTCAAAAATGTCAATGTCATAAAAGCCAAAAACAAAAAGTGGGTGACTGTTCTAGATTAAAGGAGACTAAAGTGACATGACAACAAAATACAATATGTGATCCTTGACTAGTTCCTTCATCAAAAGTAAAACCTCCACTAAGAAACAATTAAGGGGGCTTCCCTGGTGGCGCAGTGGTTGGGAGTCCGCCTGCCGATGCA